AAGCAACTCTTAGTAGCTATCTGACTACTAATTTAGATAATCTCTCTGCTTATATTAATTGGAAAACTTGTGTTAATCAGCAATGTGTACCTCTAATTAGCTGTGCTGCAATTAAGAAATGTACTAAAGGGACAACTGTATTCAAACTTTGCTTCAAGAAACCGATGCAACTGTAAAGTGTATTGTTGCCTTCTGAGGTGATCGTGCCCACCATGAACAAAGATCTTGAGAGGGAAGGAAATACATTCTCTGTATTTTTCTTCTCCCAAGGGTAATGGTGCTGAGGACATATGGTGCAGGAATAAAAGTACTAGGTAATGGTGCAGGAACGTTCTCCACTTACAGTAATTTTGCACAACCCTTTTCAAAAGGTTGTCAAGCTATCATAGAAAATGTGGTTATGTCTCCATTGTCTAAGGAACCAAGGTATTCCCCCCCCCCCGACAGTAATCTAATTATATACTACTAGTCCAGCATAGGAATGGGTATATGCATTCAGAAGCACATTCCAAAGTAGTAGTTGCCTATCAGTGTTTTATGAGGATATATGCTCTCATCCACAATTAGTCTTAACCAATCAAATTGAACTACTGACCATCAGAGCCACTTGGCTCATGTAGTCATATCCATCTAGCCTAAGCAAGACAGACATATTCTCTCTTCCCTTGGAATAAGGAAACAGAACTTTTTTATCTCAGTGATCTTATCACATTGACTGCATCATGCCATGATATCATCAGGAAAATTTCAGTGTCACTTATTAACTGGGATCGTGCAGATAGGAAGCAATGGCTGTAAAACACAGAAAATAGAAAACCAGTAAATAGCTTTAAAAAGAACGACCATTTTCCTACTTCCCCACATAACTGCTCAGCAAAAGGCAGACAGATAGCAAAACAAATAAAGGCCACGTAATTATTTCTAATTTCTCCTTTAAGGGAAAAGTGATTTTCAGAATTGAAAAGGGAGAGGTGGTCAGCTTTATTTGTGAACCAATTGATCAGTTTTCTGGGATACATTTCTGGATAGGCATGACTATCCCAAAATAAGCACAAAACTGTATCTTTAAGAAGATTTAGAAGATTTACTTCCACTTGAGGGCAGCAAAAGTATCGGGAAACTGTGGGCCAAATTATACATGTAGGTCTCAATTGTTAACTTTTGTTTTATGTACAGCATGCACATAAGCCCTCAAAACATAGAGAAGAGGGAGCAATGCTCTCCAAAAAGATTTTGCACAGTCCTAGTAGGGAGCCATCCTGTGGTAGTAACCTTTGTGATAGCTACTTAACTTTCTACTGCAGCTTCCACTCAAGAATATCAATATGTTCTGAATTAAGTTGCATTCTAGACTAATAAGACTGGAATTGAAAGGGGAAGTAGCAGCACAGTGTTTAAGTGACTGATCTGTGATTTATAGCTGAACTGAAATTGAAACCAGGTGACAGATGTACCTTTCCTGAAACTGAAGAAAAACACTTTTAAAATATCCTGTATTATAGTGCCATATTATTATCAACCCCTTAGTGGCATAAATTTACATTTTCTATTATAAGAATATTATCATTTTATTCTAGTCTAAAACTACAGTCAGATATTCATATCTGTGTAGCAAAAAGAATCCACTCTGGTGGATCTCACCATTTCCATAGCCTGTTTTCACATGCAAGAAGCCATGAGCAGCTCGTACACTCAGTTGCGCTGTGACCTCAGTGAGCAGTGAGGTACAGCATGACCATCTGCAGTGGAGAGCCAGCTTGCACCTGCAAATCCTTTCACATGACTTGAAACCTTGGACTACCAGGGTCCAAGTCATGTAGAAATTTTTACAAGTGCATCAAGACTCCTTCCTGTTATAGTCATCTCTGTTGTACTTGTGTAGAACAGCTCTTCAGAAACATGGCCAACACAATTTACAGCAGACTGGGGACAGTATGCTCACTGTTTTTCACATGTTGAGGTCTGAACAGGACTATTGGAAAATAAAGTCTGGATTTCTTCTACTTTCCTATCTGAAATGGAACCTGAGACTTTTTGCTTCCATAATATTTGCTCTGTGACTAAGTTATGACCCCTTTCTAATCTCAGGACAGATCTCTTAATAACTTAATGGCTATCATCAACATCATCATCCCTTATTGTTTCCATCTGTAATATATTGTTGCTCCTTTAGTTTCTTTAAGATGTCCTTTGTTTGGTCTATTTCATAGTATTTTATTGTTTGGCTCCAAGTTGTTCTGGAGGCCAGGTAGGTGAAAAAGCAAGATATCCGTACCAACTGAAATCAAAGAGCATTTTACCATATGAGCCTGGGGTTTGCTAGAGTAGATGAATCACATTCCTTACAACATTTATTAGCAAAACAATTCTGAGGCATGTTGGAACATAAAATCACTAATCCCTAAAAACACTACAAAATTATGAGGCTGAAAAGTTATCCATTATTTTTCCTCTGAATGTAAGACAGACAAGATATACAGCCATGCACATCCTTAAAATGTGTTCATACACACAGATAAAAACACAAATAAATAAGGGAAATGGAAATGCAATCCAGAGCCCTTTGAAGACAACTGAAGATGTTACTGCAAACATTTGCCTGTTATAGAGTGCTCAGCCATAATATCTAAAATACTTTGAAATGGGAACCTAAATTTGTCTTTATTCATATTATTTTAATAATATTATTTTTGTTAACCACTTTCTGTTTTAAATTCTGTTTCCTTTACCATAGCTTCACTCTGTGTGTTATTTAGATGATTTCTCAGATTTTGATCTATCTCTATCTTGCCATTAATTAATTGCCAAAAATTAATAAATCTACCTCAGCTTGTTCCTTCTTTTTTTTTTTTATCTCTCTATGATCTAATTCACATTCTATCTTCCTCTGCTTAGTTAAGTTCCAAAAACCATTTTTTAATTTTTTTTAGTGGGGGAGAGCACCAGTAAGACCAAAAATCTGTAGTTCTGGCAGATGCCACTCCACCAGCTAATCAACATGTCTGGATATAGCATTTTTTAACAGGAAAAAAAAATGTAAGTATGCTCTATTTTGATTACATTGCCCATCAAATCCGTTTCCAAATTATTTTGCAGCCTAGCTATTTGTACATTTATTGGATTTCAGTGCTGTGAATCTTTCATAAGATTATTAAATGAAGATTCGTCTGAAATACTAAACCACCAAAGAAATACCCTGTTTCATTATTTTATTAGCTACTACCCTTTCCTTGCTTAAGTTTGCACCGTGGGCTGGAATCTTGATAACTCATTTAATTTTACAGGTGGGAAAGTACTGGAATGCAAGATGAAATTTATTTGCAACTACGTTTTGCACAAGGCATAGTATGTGCAGATGACATGTCATATATCAAAGGCTTAGTCTTTCAGCACAGCACTCATTTGTACTATCTTCTACAACACACTTTGGCTGATTTGAAATATCTCAAGAAATGTAGTCTTATGTGATTTGTAAAAATAATATTGCCTGAAAATAATCTTCAG